CCAACAGTCACCCTCTACTATATATGATGGTCAAACTGGACATTCTCTGCAGGAAAGAATCAGTGGACACAAATTGGATATACATAAGGGCTACGTCTAGACTGGAATGATTTTCCGGAAATGCTTTTAACTGAAAAGTTTTCCATTAAAAGCATTTTCGGAAAAAAAGTCTAGATTGGCACGGACGCTTTTCTGCAAAAGCACTTTTTGCGGGAAAGCGTCCATGCCAATCTAGTCGCGCTTTTCCGCAAAAAAGCCCCGATCGCCATTTTCGCGATCGGGGCTTTTTTGCGGAAAAGCGCGACTAGATTGGCATGGACGCTTTCCCGCAAAAAGTGCTTTTGCAGAAAAGCGTCCGTGCCAATCTAGACTTTTTTTCCGAAAATGCTTTTAATGGAAAACTTTTCAGTTAAAAGCATTTCCGGAAAATCATTCCAGTCTAGACGTAGCCCTTATGTATATCCAATTTGTGTCCACTGATTCTTTCCTGCAGAGGCCAGTCTAGACACAGCCATAGGAAATACTCATAAGCCAGTGGGAGAACATTTCTGCTTACCTAACCATAATCTAACAGATCTTCAGGTGGCGGTCTTCTCAAAGGCCAGCTCCTCAAACCAAATCCACAGGGAAAGCTTGGAATTACAATACATATACAATTTCAATTCACATGCTAATGGGCTCAATCGAGATACTGGATGGGGGAGTCTTTATCATTGAAGGTGCTAACAGCTTTCTGAATGGTATCCTTCCTACCTTAGCAATCTGTCTACTGACTTTGATTTTTATCTGCTCAGGTTTAGCATCCTTTCTCCAGATACTTTAAGAAAAAAGAAGGGGGAAGGGTGGTGGGAGACAGAGCATCTTTCTCTCCCCCACCCCCTTTTCCTATTTATTTCGAGTTCTCATTTCCCCTACTCATAACTCCGGTCATCTGAAGAAGTGGGTTGTGCCCACGAAAGCTCATAATACCATCTACATGTTTTGTTAGTCTATAAAGTGCTCCTAGACCATTTGTTGTTTTATTAGTTTCTCAGGTATTCTTGCTAGCAGCTATATTTACTTTTGTTCTCCTGAACTGTAGTTTAGACAAGAAATAACATACAAAGCAATAAGCTTTGATAATACTTGTTTTATGTCAAAAATATGCTGTCATGCTTCCTGTTCTGTGGTTCCTCAAAATTTAACTACCGTCCTGTTTTTATTGTACCTTTTTTCTATTTGTATAAATTCCTACCTTTAAAACCATTCGAGGAAGTATTAACAGGGCTAATAGTCTTTATAAACAAAGTAAAATGGAGATGTCAATGCTGGATGGTGTTTCATAGACCCTGATGCTATTTACTAATGCAAGCAAATAGTCTTTAATAGTTTGCATCATGAAAGATTAGCAGGAGTTTCTCTTGTAATTTTTTTCATTCCCTAATAAAAACTTCTTTATATCTGATAAAGAGCATTCACTATTTTAGTATTTTATATATTTTGTGCTTTTTAAAGGTAAGCTAAGAATTCTTAATACAGATTTTGAGAAATAGTAAATGTTAGATTATTAAATACATTGCCAATCGTGCTTGCTTTAGTTTTGCCTTGTAAGTGTCTCTTAAATTGTTCTCCATTGTTAAATTAGGGTATTTTTAAACATTTTGATTTGTCTTAATATTTTTTTAAATGGTTAATATCAACCAAATACATTCTTTAAACAAACTGATTTGTGTGAGGATAAAAACTAAAATTTTTGTATTACCCTCCCAAACATGTGCTTTGTAAGAACAGCATATGAATATATCTTTCTCGCAATTCTAATTTATGGAAAATTCTGTGCACCGATAGGCATTTTGGTTTATTTCCAGTATTACTTGCAACGATACAAACTTCGTAATCTCTTTGTCCTCAGAATAAGAGCATCATAGATATTGGCATTGGAATCTTTTCATAATGTTGCCAATCTCTTAGGGTGATTGTCATTATATTTATTCACAATGAGTAGTCCTGTGACACCTTAGAGACTAACAAAAAAAAAATATATATAGCATCATGAGCAGGGCTCGCCGAACTGCGGCAAGCCCCGCTCGCCAGCCTCGCTGTCCGGTGATCTGTGCGTGCTCAGTTTGTTCTGCGCATGCACAAATCGCCCGAACCCAGCTCTTCTGGGTTGTAATCTACTCGCCACAGGCGAGTAGATTGCATTATTTGTCGAGCCCTGATCATAAGCATTCATGGGCAAAACCCACTTCAAATGAGCTGGAGTGGAAAAAACGGGAACCTAGAATTCATATCAGAAAAAGAAGAGGAGGGGGAGAAAAGGAAAAAAATCTGTTAATTGTAGTGTGATGCTAATAAGGCTGATTGAGTGGGCTTTATTCAGATCGTGGGCATCTCTGAAATGTTCAAACAAACTCTTTCATAGAAGCTGTATCAACTTGAAACACAACCAAAAAGTCTGAGGTGAATCTTTTTGCTAGCATGGAGTTTTGTGTTCTGTCTCTTAAATAGTTCTGTTGTAGAATCATTGATTGTAACATAATTTGAACTTGTTTTCTTAAGAGGCACTGCCACCTGAAATGTTTTTTGTCTTATTGTAACCTAATAGATTTTTACCAGTTATCAATATTACCACAGAATGTTAAAGCTAAAAATTTAAAGAAAAATCAATTTTACTTTTATTTTAGGCCCCAAATCAGGGAGCTACTCGAGTCGTCCTGATTACTAAAGCCCTGTGGGGACACAAAAATGTTTATCTGCATCCGATCCACATCCACCAGGCTGAGCTCATAATCTAATCTGTGATTTGGATTTTACATGCATCCGCACAATAAACCATCTGGACGGGAGGGTGCTGGGAGCACAGATGAACAACGAATGGGCAAGGTTGTGCAGGAAAGAGGCAGGCAGCTTGAAAGCAGGGACTGGGAGTAAGTGGTAGCAGGGACTAAAGATGTGAATGGTTACTGGTGGGGGCTGAAGCAGCCCCTGCCCATGACAGGGGGCTGCTCCCCCTGAACCCTCCCTTAATCAGTTAACTGGTTAAACATTATTAACAGGTTAAACAAAATTTAAAAGGATTTAACAACCTCCGCCAGGCACTGGAGGTAAGTGGCAGCAGGGACCTGAGGCCAGGGCTCACCAGGCAGTGGGGGAAGAAGGGCAGGCAGGAGCAGCACTTGGCATCTCCTGCAGGAAGATTTTAGGATGGAGCTTGTTGCATCCTTTCCCTGCTGGCTGTGCCCTGGCGCTAACTTCTCTCCCCCTGCCAGCCCGCCTGGTGGCTGGTTGGAATGGGCAGGGAGGGGCCCTTGCATGGGTATCCACTCCCCTGTCCACGGGTATCTGCAGATATGTAAGCTTCTATTGATTACCCAGGCAGAGCCTGGTTTCTGTTTTGCAGTTTTCTCTGGATGAACAGTGAACTGAGTTGCACTTTCAAGAGGTTTTTTTGGGTTTTTTTGGGACTAAAAGTAAATAATCAGAGAACTTGTCTTGGGTTTGAGGTTTGGTGATCAACACTGCCAAGAGATCAACAATTGTGAATCAATCCTGTTGTCCTCCCCCCCTTCCCCCCCAAAAATTATGATGTTTTAAAAAGATTATATTGTGATTTTTAGTTCAGTTTCCTGATTTCCTTGCTCCCATTGCCCATACCCAGAGTGCATTCATGTGACAATTAGTGTTGTCCTGTGTCTCGTACTAACATGAATTCTGTTAGACACAATTTTGGCTTAATTTCACTTAGAAATCACATCTCTCGTGATAAATTTGTAAGAGTTGGCCTGTCTGGCTAATGCTTGTATTTACAAATGCAAAAGTTACTGTCAAAGGTGAATTGACAGTGTCTTTACATTTGTATTGGTATTAGGGATATGAACAAGTAGTTAACTTGTCAACTACTGGTAAGCCTAAATTTATTGTTAATCTAGTCACATCTAAGTTAATCTAGTCACATCCCCTCTTGCTACCTCTCTTGGTGGTGGTGGTGGGGAAACAGGAGCCAGTGCTGGGGAGAACTGGGTTTTGAGCAGGTTTAAAAGACAGTTCCTCCCCCTGCACTGGCTTGGCGGTGACACCTCCACCTCGCGCCCCCTCCCCGCCCCCCACGAAGCAGCCTCTACCCCTGGCTCTCTAAGGGCAGAGGTTGCTTTGCGGCAGCAGCCCCTGTTCATGGAGATTTGGAGCTCCCCACAGACAGGGCTGTTTTAGGGCAGTCCCCTCCCACCCCCCCAGCAGCTTCTGTCTGCGGGGAGCTCAGACCTCCCGCGGAAGTGGGCTTCTGCCACCCTGCGCTACTGCCTCTACTAGCTACAGCTGGCCTTTTAGGAGAGCTGGTTTTTAAACTGGCTCCCCTCATAGACTGGCTACCTCCTGGCATCTTGCACTGCTGCCTCTGTGCAGCTATTTCTGTTTCAAAGTGGCAGGGGCCTCCCTGGGAGTGGGGCTGGATTGCACTGGCAATCTCGGGGACTGTAGAATATTTGACTAACCACTAAGAATTCATGCAGTTAGTTGACTATTCTGTTACCCTCTATCTAACATCCCTAACTGGTAATGCTATTACATTTTTTATTTAAAAAAGGTTTGATTTTTGTATATGTTTAGTGTGGAATAGCGAAAGTGCAGCTTTCTAGCACTGTTGATGTAATCTGGAGCAGTATTAGTTTATATGAAATTAAGCTTTCATGTGTGCTGTTTTGCAAAAGACACTGCTTTTCTTGTTCAGTATGATAGTCCCAGACTTCCATAGCTGCCTCTTGTTGCTACAGGCTAGTAGAGACAGACATTGAAGCAAGGAGTTATGGAAATAATAAGAGGTGCTTTGAGTGGCCAGTTCATTGGGTGAGAGATGGCAATACAACGTGCTGAGTAGTGAGATGTAACCAGCTACTACTCAGATCCTGTACCTGCAGATAATCTCAAGCTTGTTTGGAGTTATACAGTTCTGATTCTTAAATTTTGTGGAAATGGGTCCTTATTTTTACTAGTTCACCTTCAGTTCAATTGATTTGAATCATTACTCTTATTTTCATTCTAGTGAAAGCTGGTGGGATGAGAATTGTGCAGAAACACCCCCACACTTCAGATGCCAAAGAAGAGAAAGATAAGGATGATGAAGAGTGGGAAAGCAGCAGGTAAGCAGTCTGAAGTCCATATATGGTTTTTATGCATATTTGTACAGCTAATTTCTGTTTCTTTAAACATTAGCTTGGGTTTGTTTATTTTAAGAGTCTGGGTAAAACATGTTTGTTTGAGTTGGGCCTTGATGCTATCTACAGTTGCTTGTAATCTGGCGTTGTTTGTATTCCAATTTAAAAATAGAAATGCAGGATCGTATTGGAAAAACAGCTATTTTCACCTTGCAGAACTGCCTGTAAATCATCCTGTGAGGTGAATGTGGCCCCTTTTTCTCTGATTCCCTTTCCTCTTCCAATTAAGGGTATGTTCACAATACCAAGTTTTGTCATAAAAATCACCTCCTGATGTTCACATTTGCGCTCTATCCACAGATCATGTCCACACTGGGGGCACCATCATAGATAATGTGAACAATGCACTTTGGGTATGTATCCCACAGTGCAGTGTTGTAGGAAGGCAGAGATGATCCTTGCTCCTCTTGGGATTCCCCCTCTGTTCTCTCATAACCATTCGCAGCAGCTGAAGAGGCTATCATTTATAGCTCTATGGGCTCTCTGTAGTGAGGAACGTCAAAATAGCGCAGCAGTGTGTACCCCTCCCCCTGCAACAGCAGTCTGCTAGTGAAGGATAGAACAGGAGCATTCCAATGATTTGCCCTTTGTTACCCAAATGGAGCAGCTCACTGGATCTTTGAAAGGAGAGTGGCTCTTGCCTATAGAGCAGCAGAGATCAAATCTGAGCAGAGCCATCAGGGCAGGCATAGTGGGATGCTTGTGGAAACCAGTTCTGTCAGCAAAACAAACAGCAGAGTGTACGCTAGCTCTTTGTCAACAGTATATGGAGGGGAAAAGCAAAAAGTCTGTGTATGCCCTTGCTGTTTTGTCACCAAAAGGAATTTTGATGTCAAAACTTTGTAGTATAGACAGAGCCTAAATCTGAGACAAGGGCCTTCTAATTGATGGTTTGCCTAAGATGTGTTGGGAAATCTGCGAGCTATATGGCCAAATAAGTCTGGACACATGCCCTCTGCTTCTGAGTTACCCCTCAGATGACTTGGTCTTGTGGAGCTCAGGCTAAAGGGGCTATTTAACTGGAATGTAGACATATGGGCTCAGACTGAGCACTGGGACCCCCACAGAGTCCTAGAGCCTGGGTTTCAGCCTTATCTCTAACGTATGTGGCAATTAAACAACCTGGATCATTGGACACAGGCCAGCCCTGGGCTTCAATTAGACATACTGTCTGTGCCCCATAGAGTACCAAGCTATGCTTCTGCTGATTTCCTTCCATGTCTGGCCTAATCCACTCTGCCTTGCAGGTATATGAGTGGGAAGCAAGGGGTCAATTTAAAATAAAACAGACAATGTGTGTTTGGTTATTCTTAGGAGAAGAAACAGCATGGATTTGGAGTATGGTGACCAAGTGTCTGGTTTGGAATAGGGTGACCAATTTTCTGGAACACCCAGTTGAAAAAGAATGCTGGCAGCTATAGTCAGCGCTGCTGACCAGACCATTAACATTCTTGCTGCCAGTGCCCTAGGCCAGTGGTGCCAAGGCAGGCTGCCTGCCTGTCCTGGGGCACGGCACTGCACTCCAGAAGTGGCCAGCAGTTCCAACTCATAGGTGGAGGGCAGAAGTTACAGGGCTCCACATGCTGCCCCTGCCACACTTGGCACAGGCTCTGCACTTCAACCAGCCAGTGGGAGGTAGGGGCAGTGCTTGCAGGAGAGCAGTGTATTGCAGAGCCTCCCACCCCTCACCCCAGGGCAGGCAGGCAGCCTGCATTAATGCTGCTGACCTGGAGCCTCCTCCTATACCTTTAATCCCTCATTTCTACCTCCCCCCCCTCCCCGCAGCACCTTCCCCCTTCCCCTGAAATGTTCATTTCTCCTTGCACCCCAATTACCTGCACCAGCCCTAAACCCCCTCTTGCACCTGAAGCCTGAACCCCCATTTAGAGGCCTCACCTTCCCACACCCCAAACTCTTGCCCCAGCCCAGTGACAGTGAGAGTAGTGGAAAGGGAGCCACTGAGGGAGATGGAATTGGGGGGAGAGGGAGACACACAGGGCTAGGGTGTTTGGTTCGGTTTTGTGAACTGGAAGTTGGCAAACTTAGTTTGGAGGGGAATTATGCCATACAATGCACCAGTCTTCTGATTCCTTTCCCCATCTAGTCATGGGCCAAAACCACAGAGCCTCGAATGTGAAAAACATCAAACCTATGGTCTTCTTTGAAGTGAGTGATGCTGTACTAATTCAAATTTCTTGCTTTTTAATTCACTGTACACCAAGCCACGGGTTTTGTTTTCCTTTCATCCATCCCAGAGCTGATGTGGCTTACAATACCAGCTGTTCATTACTGTCTTGAACTTTGGGGTGAGAGACAGCAAATATTTGAGGAGTTATGGGCTTCTGAATAACTTGATGTTTTTGGAGCTGGACTCACCTGCTATAAGACTTTCGTTGATTGTAGTGGGAGATTGTGGAAAACAATTGTGTATTTTCCCATATTTATTGGAGTCCTTGCCTCATTTTACTGAAAAATCAGCAAAACATTTTTTCATTATTGTATATTAAAAATATTTAAAGTAACTGCAGTAAAACTCCAGTGATCCGGCATCCAGTGGTCCGGCACTCCTGATAGTCCTGCACCAACTGGAACCCGGAAGTGCTCCAGACAGTTAGAGCTGCTCTGCCCCTGGCTTCCCCAGGTCAGCCGCTGCTGAAACTGACCAGCGGCTGACTTGGGGAAGCCGGGGCAGAGCAGCTGGGGTGCTGCCAGGTTGGTCCTGCAGTGCCGCCCTCTCCCACCCTGCGCAGTTCTCCACCGACCCCCCCACCCCCACCCCAGGCTCCTCATAACCCCACTTACGGTACTCCAGCATATCTGATAATCCAGCACCCCCTGGGTCCTAAAGATGCCAGATTATCGGAAGTTTACTGTAATGCACAAAACATTTAAGGAGGATTTATTTTATTTGGCATTCAAATTTGAACATTGTAATTGCCTTTTAGGCTTAAAATATGTAAAATAATCATTTATGATGCCAGCTATTTTTCCTTTATAACTGAACCCAATTTTACCCAAATTCCCTTTATGCTGATTGACAGCACTGCTTTCAGTATTTAGTAAAAGTGCCAAAAAAACAGAGCTACTTTTTTCTGTGCTGTAATAGCTAATACAGTCCTAAAAAAATGCAGTGTCTTCAGGAATAAAAACATGATAAGAACTTTTTCTTTCCACTTATCACTGTGACTTAAAATCAAGGAATTTGTGTGAAGAAAGAGTTTGAATTAGTAAATCTGAATGAAAGGTAGGGAAAAAAATGAATAGCCCACCTTTTACCAGATTAGTCATCTCTAAATTCTGTCTGGAGAAAACCAGGTTGTAGCAGGTTTGTCAGTGAAATTTTAGGAAAGCAGGGGAAAAAATAATTCTTTCCTCCCCTGTGTCAAATGTTTTTTGGCTTTGAAAGGCATACTATTCCTTTGAGGTATATAACCTGCTGTTCATTTGACTTTATTCTCTGTACCATGTCATCCTGAACCTGTTGCTGGATGGTCCTGCCTGTTTTAGATCCAAATGGAAAGTTTTTGCTATTCCATTTTGATAATGGTGACCTCTGAGCCTCTGTTTTGATCTAGCTGTCTGGCTGATTCCTTGCAATGAGGTTGCCTTTAGTGATTCTTTTCATTGCAAAACATTACTGTAAAAAGGTATAAATATAACTAGACTCGTCCTAACATTGTAAAGCAGGGCAAAGGGAATTTTTTGTGTGTGTTTACCAGAAGATAGAAAGCCTAGCAACCTGTAGAACGTCCATCTTAAGTACGGGGATAAAAAGTACCAGTCTCACAAGATCAGTTGTTTCAGCTCTCTGACCACATTAGCTATGGAAGTCTGTCTCCCTATTGTCTTTCTGTAAAGTAAGTTAATGACTCATCCTGTGATTGTGACCTCAAAGAAATGTTTAGGGAAAGGTAGTTTCAAGATTGTTTTGAAAATATGTATCAGTTTGAATTTCCTTTTAAATAGATTGAGCCCTACTGTGAAAATGCTAGCAGGAAGGTGATAGTTCAGTAGGAAGCACTGTGAATTACAATCTGGAGTAGCATGGCATTAATCTGAGGGGGTGGGTGCTATTGCTATTTGGCTTGTCTAGACAGGATGTGCTAGGGCTATAGCGACATGAGGGAAACCTGTGCATCTACAAGGAAAAGATGTATTGACTCCATCATAGTCTGGTGCTGGCATGCTGCTGGATAGGTACATGAGTTCAAGAAGCAGGACCTTTAGCTGCAGCTGGGTAACAAAGGCGAACAGGGCACTATGAAATTGTTGCTGCTTCCGCTGTAATTACATTATCTGTTTTATATCATTCTGCTGCACCTGAGAGTGACTCTGACTCTGCCCTCCATTCCAGCCAATCCCTGCTCTCCCGCTTAAACTTGTGAACTGCTGGTGCCCATGCCCATGTGTGTTCTGGGGAACAGGAGATAATGCCACTCAAGCCCCTTTTCCCCCAATCATCGGTGTGCCTTCCAGTCCCTGCTGGTTGTCATTTTCAATCTCCATATCTAGAAATTGAGGGGGATGGTTTGTTCTCAGTTTGCCCAATTGTATTTCTTCCATTCAACTTAAGTTATTCTTCAGTCATTAGATGAGTGACTTGATTACTTTCTGTTCACGTTTCATTGTCCTAGAAACTTATTATTGACACTGAAATTAATAATGTTTGCATGAGCACTAGAGTCAGGCACTGATGAGAGAATATGGAAAACTATTGTATTTTGTGCAAACATATGAATTATGTATATAGTGAAGACTTTAATTTTATAATCAGATTTGCCTTTCAAAATAGATCTGAATAACCGTAACTGATCATGAACAGAACAAAAGCCATTAAGGATTTTTAGAATTGCAAAATTAATTTATAGGTAACTTAGGGTTTTTTGCAAAGCTTGGAAAAGACTTAGTTAAACTTTTCCCTCTTT